AATGAATCCAACTGAAAGCTTTCGGCCTTTATCCAAGCACTTTTCCACGATCCCAGTACTGGACCGGAATTAATGGAGGGCCAAAAGAGAACGATAGTGGGATAGCAAGGGCAGGGAACGGGGGGGAAGGGACAATTTAGTCAGCATGGACAAACCTTCCTGTATGTATTGCCTTGCAGCAAAGCTGGAGCCCCAGCGACCACGTAACAGTGACCTTTCCATCAAGCCGTGAAGGCGGAAATCTTCTGTAGCACCCCCCCTACGGAGGGAGTAGGGCCTGAAAGAGGCCTTCAAATGGAAGAACTTCAGGAGTTGACGAAAGCCCTCTCGAAATTGCTCTTTTGATTCCCCCCAAACATGTTCGTGACGTGAAACTCCAATATCAAATAGTGTCCGAGCGATCATCATGGTGGGGACATGATCAATGATAACATTCTCATCGACTTGTCGGCGCAGCCCGGTTTTTTGTGTCTCCCAGCCGCACGATCATGTTCTCTTTTCCTAGCAAGAGGTGTTTGAATTTGACATCAAAGATCTCGCCAGTCCTCAGCATTCCCCAGAACCCCAGGCAGAGGCACAGGGCCAGCCTGAGGTCCTCGAGATCCACACAACGTCCAACTAATGCTTCCGCGACATTGACAGGAAATGGGGGTGCCTGTTTGGGTTTTTCCAACTTTCTCCAAACACCATAAAGCTTCCATGCTCCACGAATTTTACCTCGGCTCCATGGGAGATAATGGTGCAGGCCTGATAGGGCATCCGCTACGGAAGTGATACTGGCGCCTTGGACATATTGGAGGTCAATCCAAGCGATGAGAAAATCATCAATGTCGTCCTTTGTCTTTTCAAGAGCGGGCAATAGGGCGGAAACAGCAACGAAATACCTGATTCTGGTTTTCAGTGTCACCGCTCGGTCATGAAGGCTTAAACCCTTTCGGCGTCGCAGCCTTTGTCGTCGTAGCAGCTCAGGCGCGGCTCGCGGCATCGGTAGGATTCTCGTAGGAATCAACGTGGGCTAAGTGAAGGAGTGAGTGGCTCACCAAAAGTAAGGCGTTGATCTTGCGCACAATATACCTGAGCTTGGCGCTCCCTGTCCTACCCTTAGAAAGTATAGAGAGGGCCACATAGCTGTCGGTGAGGTGAAACATCCGCCGATTTACCAACTGCCTGTTCATCACTTTCCAAAGAATAGTGAGGTATATTGCCCGAATTTCAAGAGCGTTTATATGCTCAGTTTGACTCCAGCGCGTGCTAAACACGGCGGTCCAGTTCCACCAACTGGCTTGAACCGATTGCCGCGGCAGAGCGCTCGGGTTCATAACTTGTCCTGTGGTAATACGAATGTCTGACCCTGTGTGCTTTACGCGGGCACAGAGGTGATCATTCAACTGCTTAACCGTTCGGGGCGCAGAGAAACTAGGGAAAAGGCAGCCAAATTGAAGTGGGCAGCTCAAGGCCGGGTGCAGGCCAGCGCCCGGGGGGAAACCCATGCGTGAAAATAAGAGGTCCGGCTTAAAAATACCAGTGTACTTGGCAACCGCAGCGCCAGCAAATAAGACAAAAGACCAAACAGAAAAACTGTCCCCCACTAAGCTGCACCTTTCATCTTCAAATGACGTGGGTTGTCCTTTCGCCTTCGAGGCAGACATGCAGAGCATTGTATGGGATCTGCCGTAGCCCATAAGTAGCTCACGCTCATCTGCATTCAAGAGCCTGCCTTCTCCAGCTGGGTTGTAAACTACATACTGGGACTTGTACTGATAAGGAGGGAACCTAAAGGCCTCGCTCTCCCACCGGCACCGGGTACCAGCGTCAGTTCGCTCTATTCCAGCCGGCCTAGGGGGAGGCCTTTCACGCCTGATTGCTTTCATAAATGTGGGATAGATAACCCCAGGGGCTGCTTGCTCCCAGCCCGGGGTGAGCCACTGTGCGGGGGCTGGCCATTCTCCTGCAACCCAAACTTCCTTGTACCCAGGCTTTTCAGTGATGTGGAGGCCATCCAAATTTTCCATATTCATTGTAGTCCAACAATATCGAGGTCTTGAGTTCGGAACTTGCTCCTTGGGATCCACCTTGTAGGGCAGAACCCCAAACATGCGACTAATTTCATCCCTGGCACTGTAGTCCATGCTAGACACGTTTTCCACAAAGAAGTGGAAAGCAGCTTGGGGAAAAAGAGACTTGGTGTCATCAAAAATCCTCACGGCCTCACGGATCAACCCGCTGGACTTTCCTTCCAAATTCAGTCTGTTCGCCCTAACGCTGCTGAGGTCCACACAGGGAAATCCTGCCCACAAGTGAACTTCTTCAAAGTCCTCCACATGTTCCAACAATTCTCTGAGCTTGTCCAGGGTCAAAGTCTTCACGTCATCCCAGAAGATTGTGTCTGGCCATCTCCGAGCCATAGTTCGGTTTGCAGGTTTGCGTATGTCGCATGCCAAATAGGCTTTCACCTTCACGCCTGCCACGTCATAGCACCTCGCTGCGCCCCCTATCCCGTTGAAAAGGGATATCACCAATACCGGGATGGCCAAAGGGTGGTTCTTCTAATTCTGAGATTCCAAAAACCCTTCTCCTTCCATTGAGAGACTTCGCGAGATGGCAATGGCACCTCCTTTCTGGCTCGCGTCACTGCAGGTAATCACCTCATCGATCCGGGATCCTAGCCAAGTATGGAAAAGGGGGGTCCCTAAAACCGCAAAAAGTAGCTCCTGCCTGACCTCCTCAATCTGCCTAGCACGGGGGCGCTTGGAGCTGATGTAGGCCCAGACAGCATCAAACTGGCACATACCCGGTCGGCGGAATTGCAAAGCGAAGCACCACCGTCCCATCATGATCTGCAGCTTCTTCTTGGAGATGCTGGGCTGGTGGATAAGCCACAATGTGCTCTTGATGATCTTAATCATCCTTTCACAACTGGCGCCAATCCACTGACCGGAGCCACCTATAAAGGCACCCAGCTCTACTCCACTCTCAGCGGCCACTACTGACTTGTCAGTTGACACTACAATACCTGCCTCGCCCCAAAGCGCCTCTGCCGTGCGTTGCAACTCAATGAGCTCTTTCGGGTGTCCTTCAACTACCTTTGCACCCCCAGCAAAGTTGTCTAGGTAGACATGCCACCAAGGACGGCCTTGACGCATACCCTCAGAGGTACTGTTAATCATCCAACTGGGCAGGGGGCAGGTTTTATGTATTTGTCCTTGGTCATCCACTCCACCTTGAAGCAACACACTTTCTGCGATCTCTTGCATCACGCCCACAGCTGAGCTCCAACCCATCGGGAGTACGGCACATGACAAGTACCACTTGTCTTCCGAGTTAACCCTTGCCTCAACGCCTAACGTGGAGGAGTCGAAACTAAGGTTGAAGCACAGAAGTCTGCTCCACTCAATTGGCATGCCGAAAAGGTAAAAAGCACAAGTCATGTCCGACTGAGCTAGACGGACTGTTTCGCCCTCTTCCAAAACAACGTTCAGCCACTGGGTAATGTTAGGCAACTTGGCGACCCTACCAGGGATGACACGTAGGACAGAGTTGATGGGGACCAAATTCATGATGACCCTGAGCACACTCTCGCCACTCTCCAGCAACTTGCTCTTAGGTACTCCAAACAGTCCGTTCAGAACCTTCTGGCCTCTATAGGTGACGACCTCAGAAGAGTGGGTCCAACGACAAATGCCTCGTCGCACCAGCTCCATCGCCACAGTAAGAGCCTCTTCTCGCACTATATGAACCTTCCCTTGCAACCTTGGGAGATCTTGCCCAACATCCGGGCACAAGCAACCGAGGGGATTCAACAGAAGCTCACGTGTCCTGCCTCCAACCCACTTGACAGCTTCAATTGACCCTCCGTGACCTTCAGGAGGAAGTCCAGGTTTGATTCTGGCTAGGCTCAACGCTTCAGCCTTGCAAATTTCTTCTCCGCTGTAGGACACGGTTCTCTTCTGAAAATCTTCTTTGATTTCTGAAACCCCCCCAAAGCACGTGACTGTCATCCATCAAGATCCTGTCAACAGCAGCCCGGATTGAGCTCATCAAATCACGTTGCACCGCCGTAGGACGTGAACACGCACGGGTAGCATTACCACAGGCCAAATGATTAGCAAACAGAACTACTAATTCACACCAGCAGGCCCTAGCAAGGGTTGCCCGACATTGAGCCCCCTTCACAAAGGACTCAAAATCAAAAAAACTCATCGACGTTCGACAAAATTGGGAAAACAAAAGAAGGGAGAGGGAAAACCTGACGTTTAGAGTGCAGCACTCGTGATAGCTGGCCAGAGCTAAGACACACTTTTTTCAGCGCAGCAAAAGCGCGGAAGTAGTGCCAAGGGCGACCTCCATCGATCGCCGGGCTCCGGAAAAGCTCAAAATACATGCTGAGCCCCAGCGCGGACAGATCTCCAGCAGAGGCTAGCATTTCGTCCAACCAAGAGCGTCTCAAATGCCGCTCCATCACTCCTCCTTTCCCTTGTCTCCCTTGTCGGAACTGTTCTCCTTCTGCCCCTTCGGCTTCTGCCACCAATTGCTCCACTGGCCTTTCTTCGGGGAGCCCCTGCCTCCCCAGTTCTGTCTTCGGTCTTCTTTGCCGTCCTTGCCGCCTTTGCCTCGCTTTCCTTTTTCCTGCCAGCGATCGGGTCGACCCCAGCCGGCATCTCCCTTGCCTCCTTTGTTGCTTCGTGGCCTGCTGTCCTGGTCGGTGACCTTCTCCATCAGCTTCGAAAACTTCCTGGCCGCTAACGTCACCGCCGGTCCCGCCGCTGTGGCATGGTCTGGCGAAAATATCTCGAGATGCCGGGCAGCGGACCAGTTCTGGTCCAGCCCCGCTTGCTCGAGGGCCAGCCAGCGAGCCGCGAGGGCATCCCCTAGCCGGCCCAGTCGGCCAACACGCAACAGGTCGATGCAATTGGCTATCAAGAACAACTCGCGACCGTCTCGAGTCTGGGAGCTCACACCTCCGGAGTGGGTCAGGGAGTGCCAGTAGGTCAGAACCTTGGTGCCGTGTGACACCGGGTTCTCGTGTTCTGCAGCGCCACCTAACTCGTTGAGGCGTTGTTCTATCTGCGTGATGAGGAGCTCCAGCACTGACCCCTCCGCTCTCTCGCTTTTCTTTTTGAGAGGGGGCAAAAGGGACTTTTCCTCCTCTGAGCTGTCCCCGCTCTCGCTGTAGCTCCCTGACTTCTCGTCTTCTCCTGAGCTCCCTGAAGAGCCCCCGGAGTCGTCGCCATCGGGATCGTCGCCCCTCTTCCTCTTCTTTTCTTTCTTTTTCTTTTTCTTTCTCTTCTTGCCGCCTAGTAGCACTTTCAAGGCATCCAATGCCTTGTCCTTCTTCTTTCGTGGCCTCCTCTTCTTGTCTTGAACTGCTTTGGCGGCTTGAGATGTCAAGGTGGCGACCACTCCTCCATTCTGCTGCCTCCTCAACCTCAAATTCTTCATAATACCTTCTCTTGGCTCCCTGACCGCGATCTCGGTGCCGGCTCGGCGAGCGCCAGCGGCCTCCCGAGTGGTGCCAATCTTCGAACTCGTAGTCAACCCGGCCGGAGCAGGTGAAGCATCTCCATCCTCCTCGAACACCTGGTTTTCTCCAGCGATCCTGACTCGTCGACCAAGGCCCTGGTTCTGCTGCTTTTGACGGACCTTTTCCAGCCTGTCCCTGAGGATGCCAGGCGCGGTACGGCCCGAAACTGCCTTTTGGCCCTCTCCTGGGGCCTTCCGCTTTGAAGCCCGAGCGCCTGGTGGTTTTCCTCCTTTGCCTTTTGTCAGGGGATCCTTCACTCCCCTCTCCTTTCCTGGGCCCTCTAGCTCGACAACCTCGCCTAAGTCCTCGGCTTGGAGCGCGTCCTCGATCTCGTCTCCAGTGCCTCCTGGAGCTAATACCTGCTTGAGCAGCTTTCGACCTGCAACTGTGAGTCGACCTGAGGGGAACTCGGATCCATTCCATAGCTCCAGTCGACGCACATGGAAAACTCCCTCTTCTATCGCGCACGGTCCCTCGTTCAAACAAATGTGAAGAGCACCAGCGCGCCTGTTGAAAAGACTGCTGAGCGTTGGGACAACATCGTCTCGACTGGCCCCAATCGCACGTACCTGTACCAACATACTGGCATCTGATGCAAGGGTTGAGCCCAGCACCAAGAAAAAGCCTTCCACCTCGTCCTGACCAATCACCTCGTAGGGCACGGCAGTTACCAGCACATTGCCCGGCTGAGGTGCGAACATATTCCACCTTGAAAAATCCCGGACACGTAGACCCCGAAATCGTCGTCTCCGTGACCAGGAACTCCAGGTTCGTCGCCTGCCCTCATTGCTTCCTTCCCCGGGGGGGTACCCCAGGAATCGCGTCCTCCCTTGGGGCTGTTGAGTCAAACTCAAAATACGAGTTGTCCAAACTTCGATGGATCGTGAGGAATGAGTTCTCGTCTGCTCGATATAGCCGTTTGTGCTTTCTACCTGCCCTGTGAGTCTTGTCTCTCTTTCTCTTCTTCTTCTTGAAGCCGTCTCCTCGACGATCGCGTCCTCGATGGCGAACTGAATGCTCACCTTTGGGGTGTCTATGACCCCTCGAAGAAGTTGCCGCCTCCTCACCGGCGGGCACGGGCACGGACCCAGCCTCACCAGCAGTATTCTCAACCTTCTCCTGCTTGACCTCCTCAGCCGGCTCTGCAGCGTGACGAGCAGCGGGCGCCGCCTTCGCGGACAGTCCCTTTGTGCTCACAGGCCTGGTTGGGTCCTGTATTATAGTGGCCTCCGAGGCCTCACCAGAGTCGTCCTCGTCAGACTCGTAGGAGCTCTCCTCGTCCTTGTCGGCCTTTTCCTCTGTAGCCGGTGGGATCTCAGGCCGGGGAGATCGCACCAGCGGAGCTCGAGGATCCTTCGGCTCGGACCCAGCGCCAGCCGTAGGAGGGGGGCGCTCAGGGGTGAGTGGCCGGGTCTGGCCTCGTGCAGCCTGCGCCACGGGCGGAGTGACCCGAGTGACGCGTAAGGCGCGCACCTGGCGGACCGCGCTCACGACTATGTCAGTGGCGACCGCACGGAGTCCGGGATGGCTCCAGGAGAACGAGAGTTCTGACCCGAGAGCCTCCCACCCGGAGCACCCCAAGCACCAAGCGTCGCCAGCCGCTGGCGCGGCGCGGCGACACTTCGCGCAGAGTGCCATGCGCCGCGTAGAGACCCTACACGAGCCCGTGGCCGCAGGAGTTTCGTGCAAACATTCTCACCTACGGCAGAAGTCATATATATATATATATATATATCTAACAAATCTTCAGGGGACTGTGCAGGATTCAAACGTCGCAGATCACTCCGTAATCCAGCTCAACAGCATTGGACGGCTGAACATGGCCATTCCACTCTTAAATACTATCGGTATACTGGTAGAGATAAATACTAACAGCAAATTTCAGCAAATTCTCCAAAACTCGAAAACCCGATGGTCTCGAACACATGAATCATCATGAATCATCATGAAGAAAAAGATCCTCAGTTGACTCAAAGAACTCAATCATAGTATCTGATACTGTCGATCTTTCTTTCAACTCCTCCAATCCACCTGCTCCATGTCCCTCCCTTTGTTCAATCCCCGGTCATTTCGTCCAAGGAGTCCTTGGACCCAGACTGCGACGAGCGCTCCGCGTCCGCACTGCTCATCGTGCCATCTAGCGAGACCATCGCCTGCACCGCCATGCCATCACCTCCATGCATCATCAGCTGCACCGATCTGCACTGGATGCCACGTCTGGCCCGGACGTCACGTTGGGTCTGGCTGGTCGTGAACAAGCCCACGATTTTGAGCCAATGGATGCCTATAGGGTCTACCATGGTCTACAAGAATGAAACAAAGAATTGTAAAAATGAGACAAAGAACAGACCAGGTCTCGGCCAGGGATCACATTCGATGAGCGAACATGCAGGAAACGACAAACATATCAAACAGGAGAATGACACCATTCGGCAAGGCATGAAAACACACTAGTTCATGATGACTGCAGCAAGTGATGAAATGCCAACAGCTAGCGGCCGCAGCTAACGCATGCTAACGCCATAAAGATGGCCATTACTTGCTGAAAAGCCTCTGCCGCTGCGCTGGGCCGAGGTGATCCAACTGCTGGGCACGCCAATCAACCGAGACGACAATGGTAACTGCCGTGTGTTGGGCGCGAAGAGGTAGCACATCGACGAGGAGAAACGGAATCCAAATAGCATCCAAACTGACTGAGTATATGATATATGTTTATATATATTCATCGATCCACACAAGACTGTATGTCTTTAATCTGAAATACAACAACTCAAGCTTGTGCCATAGTACATTGGCAGGGGGGGAGTGCTGCCAAAAAAATGTCTCGCAGGCTGTTTCATCCAGTTCTTGCGAAACCGGCTGATTGCGCAGTTCTTACACACCGTCACGGCCCCCCGCGCACGACAGGAATAGGAGGCCCAGCAAAATCAGCAAGCTGCGGTTCTTTCTCGCATTTTGGATCGCAGTAGGCTGCAGCAGCATCCAGGATCTCAAAACAACTCACCTGGCGCTGTTGGAACCGAGACTGGCCATGGGCTTTCAAGAATCCCATGATCCGAAGAAGTTTCGTCAAGACAAACGAGTGAGTGCGCCACAAGGTGCAAGGTCTCATTTCACAACATGGGTGAGATGTTGGGAAAGCATCCAACGTGATGGTGCAATTTCACACATCACGCCGGAGCCGGCGTGACTTTGTGCCTCATGCATCCTCATGCCACGTTTTGTGGCAATCAGAAAACACGACTTTGTGTTTACATATCCTGACTACATGCCTCGGCTTCTGCATTGATCCCAAATACTTGGAAAGCACATGAAAGCACTACAAACGCTTGACATTCACATCTGTTCACCGCTTCAATCATGGCTCATGGAGGCTGCTGGCTCAGAGTAATGCTCCTGCGAATCCGTCTCAAAGACATCCTCGTAGGTTGGCTCCGTCTCGCTCTCCGAACGGCGTCGCTTCAAACCCCCCAGCACCACCGGTGAACACATGAGCCGCTGGAGCTCGCAGCCGCCCAACTCCTCGTAGCGCAGTCGAGATTGTCAACAAACAAAAGGAAGACGTCTATACAAGGCTTGCTTGCTTAGACGTTTGCCAGTTTCAGCCATAGATCCAGCAACAAGGCATTTTATAGAGACAACCCCTTGGAAAACAACCTAGAAAACCATCCCAACACCACACCCCTAAGTAGCCCAGCAGTCAAACCAGCACCCCCCCAACCCTGATCAACCAGGAACACCTCTATAAAATACATTTTGCTTAAACTTTGGCAGTGCCAGCCCTGGATCCAACAAAAACATTTTATAGAGGCCGCCCCGGGGGAAAACAACCCAGAAAGCCAAAACCATGTCCTTGCGCTGTTTCTAGTATGTTGAGGGAACCTGTACCTGTTATTCTATGAAAACCAATCATGTTAGATAACATTTACAGAACCATATGCTTCTAAGATAGCATCTTTTTGTACACAGATTTGCTATGATTTGCTTGTGCTTGCATTTTGTTCCTATCATTCTATACAGGTTCCTTATATAAAGAACAATTCCAAGCAGGTATTCATGGGGTATGTTTCGGGGTTTCCGGCGTTGTTTGTTGGGCGGTTTGCGGATGAGGCTGGGCCAAGAGCTGGCATAGAAGGGCAGGCCTCTGAAGGCCAATGGTTGAGCAAGACTGGGTGTGAGATCACGTGTAGCGAAAGTAGGTTGTAAGGAGGTGAAGAAGAGAAGTGTGCTTTACGGAGCATAAAGGGTGTCAGTCGCCAGCGTGACTTGAATCTGGCAGCTTTTCAATGTCCTCCCAGGGGACTGGTTTTCTTGGACCTGTGCAAAACTCTTGTTTAGAATGATTTGTTTCCAAAGTTCCAGAGACCCTTTCGGTGTGTCCCGGAATCTTAAGCCTTAAGCATTCCCCCTGACAGCATGCTGGTTGTTTTGGCTTGGTTCTTTACAGATTCCACCATCCAACATGCAGGACTCGTCCTGACTTCATTGGATCCGCAGATATTGTTGTTTGGTGCGTTCCAAGACTTTGCCCAAGACCTCAGAGGGCACTGATGAGTCTTTGATTTGTTCTGAAGCGGCGCTACGTTCAACTGGTGCTTGCCAACGTCTTCCAGGCACTCACAGCAAGTGGCTCTGCATTGTGCAAACACCGAATGCTCCATTCTCCGTTTGGCCCGCTTAGCCACGGGTGATGTTCCTGCACTGTGGCTGGCGTGTTTGATGGCTCAGGAAGATGAATCCGCTGACTCCGCTGAAGATCCACTCCTTCGGGTGCACTCCCCTTGTTGCAGTGCTGGAGCTGCAGGGGTCGCTGTGTCTTTGAATGGGAAGGAAGTCGGAGTCATCAGTGATCATGGCGAATTGAAGCTACCCATGGGTGAGGGTGGGTTGTCCTATCGGGGTCCCTGCATGGTGAGGATTGAAGGTGTTCCTCCTTGTCTTCTTCCTGGGAGCACCAACGAATATGTCGCTCACTTCCAACTGACCCGGCAGATGGATTTGGAACTCACCTGCTTGTTGTGGATCTATTGGTGGTGCCCTGAGCCGGATGAAGAAGGAGAAGAGGAAGATGCCATGGTCTTTGTTTGCGCCAATGTGGAGCAGATCCCAGATGAAGCCAAACCTGTGGTTGGTCACAAGGCCGCTCGCTCTGTTTATAACATGATGGTCTCGGGTTTCCATCTTAGCTAAATGAAATGTTCCATATGACCAAGCACAAACATCATGTTGTCGTATATAATGATCATTGTTTGAGCATGCCCACTATTTCACTATTATTTGGTTTATAAATTGGGGCGGTGGAAACTGCATTTTATAAAGGAAACGAATCATAATGTTGTGCTGGTATACTCAACGGGTATCCCGGTATCCCGGTACAACCGCCAGCTGTGACCCTCGCCATAGCAAGTTCCAAGCGACTGGTTCGAAGGCTCCAAACTACCAAATTCCACGAAGAGGTCGACGCCTGGCCCATGGAGCAAGGTCCTTCTCATCCCATCCCAAGTCAATTCTGTCGCGAAACATGGAGGCACCAGGCCAAGCCGGGTCAAGGTCTTGCCCCTTCTTTCTCCCTCTCTCTCTTCCAAAAACTATCCCCCTCTCTGCCTCTTTTCTTCCTTCAAAGCCCTTTGAGCCTGGAAGCAAAGTCTGGAACTGCTTCATGGCACCTGTCCAACGTATTGGCCGAGTTGCACCCAAACACGTCCTGTAGTGGTTTCAAGTGAAGTACCCCAGTCTTCCAATCATGTCCCTTCAAATCAAAATCAATCTCCCCCAAATCAAACAAATCCAAATTCCAGTTACAGTATAGTGATTGATGTGCTGCTTTCCTATGCAAAAACCAAGCCACTGACACGAAAAACCAAGCCGGTCACGCCGATGCAAGAGACACACGAAGGCTGCGACAAGTACAGGTTGAGACATCCTTCAACTGCATAGCGCAGCCTGGCGCAGCACAGCGCATGGTGCTGCGCATGCGTGTTCGTTCCAACGCAGATCCGAAAGTTCTTTGCACATGTTCATCTCAGGTGAGTGTCACAACATCCGGGATGGTACAACACACCTCCAATCTGGCAGAGTGAATGTGCGCGTCTGGCAGCATCTTTTCACAGAAGGCACATTCATTTTTCCCCACCTGTCAGGTGAGGGTTGTTAGATTTTATGTCAGCCCCACGTCCTTCTCCTTCTTCTCCTTCTCCTTCTCCTCCTCCGCCTCCTCCACCGGACCTCAACCACAACCATCCACGCCCAGTGTTCCCTGCCGGACCTCAACCACAACCATCCACGTCCAGTGTTCCCTGCCGGACCTCAACCACGACCATCCACGCCCAGCGTTCCCTGCCGGACCTCAACCGCGACCATCCACGCCCAGTGTTCCGTGCCGGACCTCAACCACGACCATCCACGCCCAGTGTTCCCTGCCGGACCTCAAACATGACCATCCACGCCCAGTGTTCAACGCCGCACCTCAACCACGACCTTCCACGCCCAGTGTTCTCTGCCGGACCTCAACCACGACCATCCGCGCCCAGTTGTTCCCGCCGGACCTCAACCACGACCATCCACGCTCAGTGTTCCCTGCCGGGCCTCAACCACAGCACACAACCACAAACACTCAATTACAAACACACAACCACAAACACATAACTACAAACACGCAACCACAAACACACAACCACAAACACAACAACACACACAACCACAAACACAACAACAAATACACAACCACAAACAACAACAAACACAACCACAAACACACAACCACAACTACAAACACACAATCACAAAGACACAACCACAACAACAACCACAACTACAAAAACACAATCACATAGACACAACCACAACCACAACTACAAATGCACAATCACAACCACTACCAGTACCACAAACACAATCACAAACACACAGCCACAAACACAACCACAAACACACCACTACCACTACCACTACCACCACTACTACCACTACCACTACCACTACTACTACTACTACTACCACTACGACTACGACTACGACTACTACTACTACTACTACTACTACTACTACTACTAGAGCCCCGGAAGCTTCCAAGTTTCGGGCCCCGAAGCTCGGGCCCCGAACTGGGCACTACTATGGCTACTACTACCACACTACTACTACGACGACTACTACTGTTACCACTACTACTACTACTACGACTACTACTACTACTACTACTACTACTACTATTACTACTACTACTAGGGCCCCGGACGTTTCCAAGGTTCGGGCCCCGAAGGTCGGGCCCCGAACTGTGCACTACTATTGCTACTGCAAACACAACCGCAAACATACAACCACAACCACAACACAGCACACAACCACAACCACAGCACACAACCCGAGGACCCACAAGCAAAATCGAGAACTACAATACTCACGACCATGGCAACATGCTCCTCACTATGGCATCAAGACAAAAGATTGAAATGTCATGGTGGGGATCACTCGAAGTAAAGTAATTTCGACTGATGTACTAAAGACCCCTCTCTTCCTATCAAGCTCTTCAGGCTCTGGCTCAGGACAAGTCATCGAGACGCCAGACCGATGAAGCATGTCGCAGACCTGGCACCGAAGCAGCACCCGGGCCAGCGCGGGCAGCTCGGTCCAATCAGGTTTGCGCCTATGGCACGTTTCAATGAACTTGTCCTGATTCTATCTGTATTCACTGGATGTAGAACGACAGGGGCCTCGCTGAGAAGCTGAAACTCTGCGCAGAGAGTCCTGGAGGAGAAAGTGCTGTGAACACCTGTTCATTTTTTCGCAGTCATCGTTGAATGTCTTTGTTAAGCTCCTAGATTCCTAAGTTGCGAAGGCGGAAACTTGGATTGTGTTGGAGCACACGCGCTCATAGAAAGCCGGAAGAGAAGGCAGCAAGCTACATGTGTCCTGTCCACCCATTTGCTGATGGGAAGAGGTACAGCCTCGGTGTGATGGGCCCTCTTGATCTTCAGAGCCTTTCAAAAAACAAAATGGAGCCCACGAACCCGAATGCAAACACGTATGTCGATCTACTGTGTACAGAAAGAGACGCAGCCGGCCAAACCCCTTTTTTTCACACTCCGGCTCGGTAACGCAAGGCTGGCTAGCCACATGAGCAAGCGAATTGTGCCAGGCACTCCACCACCAAGGCAGCATGTGCTGGGGACTTCACCACCAAGCTCTTTCATGAAGGGTCTTCGTCTTGCATTAAAATCAAGCACTGGCGTAAAGGTTGTGGCAGATCCACATCACGAAAGAAACAATGGCATTGTCCCAAAATCTCGATAATAAGCACTTGGAAATGGTAGCCGCCCACGTAATACAGAGAAATCCACAACTGCGGCGTCTGGTCTTCTTGTAAGTAGGAGTGCAAGACCGTGCGTTGTTGCGTCTCACCTGCATCAACAAGAAGCAAGTAATACACACGCACAACGGAAGTGGCTAGAACTGTCCTAGATCACTTAATTTTCCAACATTCTCATGGGTCTTTCTTTTTTCTTTTCATGAGAAGATGAATTACAAGTATTTCCAACAATGATGAAGCCAAGATTGAGCTCTGTGGCCAAAGCAACAACGTACGTCGACGTCTGTCGCCCAATGAGTATTGCCGCAAGTCTCCAGAGAAGCGCCCACGTCACGCTGCAGAGACACCAGGGCCGCAGCGCCAGAACGCAAGCACTCTCTTGCTCCTGAACTAGCATGGCGCCGTCCACCACTTCTGCTCCAGGATATCATTGGCGCCAAAGCAAAAGGAGTCTCGTCAAGCATCCGGTGACGAAGTCCAAGAATGCCAATTTGGTGTCTTGGCACGCAATGCGTCGCCCGAATTTTGCGGAGAGCAGCCGCGACCGTGACTCGGTCGCCAGTCCACCACGTCGTCAGAAGTGAAAAGGTTCAAGAGTCGTGGGTGGACGGCTCGCGCCTGCATCAGCGCGACCGCAGTGGACAAGAAGAAGCTATCGCCGCCCCCACCAGCTTCGGCAGCAAACGCACGCAGAGCCCCATGTTCTCGGAAAAATTGCGCCGTGGGAATGGCGACCTCGTCCAGTGAAAGAGCCCAGATGTCGCAGAAATCTGTTCGCAGATCCCAATGGCACTGCTACATCACGAACGTAATTTCGCCACACGGTCTGCCCACACACTGGTCACTGAAAGTTAACATACCACACGATACCACCATCCCGCTCACCAGCGACACGCCGCGTTTACACCAGCATGTTTCGCGCTCTCCAGCGGCGCCACGCAAACGCACTTCCCACCCAGGCCGCGCAAATCCCAATGGCAATACAACATCACAAACGTAATTTCGCCACACGGTCTGCCCACACACTGGTCACTGAAAGCTAACATACCACACGATACCACCAATCATCCCGCTCACCAGAGACACGCCGCGTTTACACCAGCATGTTTCGCGCTCCCCGGTGCCACGCAAACGCACTTCCCACCGAGGCCGCGCAAATCCGCATGGCACTGCGACATCACGAACGTAATTTCGCAACACACGGTCCACCACACACAAAAAGCAAACATATCACACGACGGTGGAGACGGGGGTTCCCCGAGCTGCATCATCTGTTCAAGGTTTCACAACTGCAGTGAACCTTCAACCTGCTGGGGTTCGGCATTTGTTTTGCCATGAATTGTGGTTCTTTTGAAAGTACAAGATTGGGAACATATTTCGTTTTTGTTCGCGCAAGTTGACTTTGCACGCAATGCTTTTTTTAGTTTCCCAAAACCCGATCCGAGTGAAACTGCCTGAGGAGCAGGTTTCCAGGTTTGAGACATTGTCCCAGGAACCTGCCAAAAATGTGAAAAACGTGCCACCAAGGTGTCACCACGGCTTCAGCAACATGGCTTGCTAGAGGCAACTCACGCATTTGCAACAAACGTCGAGAAAGAACAAACGCAGAAGCCAACAATGTTTGTGAAAGTTGCTTTCCGGCAGTGTGTCTCAACCATGCATCAGCCAACAAACACGAGTGAGCAGCAACCTCGGAAGGATCAAACCAATGACGATCAGGAATCAAAGCACAAGAACGAACAAAGGAAACGATGTCGTCAGCCAAGGGGTTGAATGGAAACAAATGTTTGAGACGAACACAAGTCAAAGGGAGACCGCAGCCAGCGATGCGAAGCAACAAAGCGTAAGAAAAAGCAAGAGCAACCTGAAAAGTCTTGATCCGAAATCATCTCCATAAAACAAACATATCCATAACCCCCCACCCGGACATCAACTTCACAGGAAAGAAACATAACATCAAACCATGTTCGTGCGCTAAGACCCCCCCCTGCCCCCCCCCCCGAACATCGAGCGACATCGAAAACTTTACATGAACCTCTCAGTCTCGGAGACATGAACCTCTCGGAGAACCCCCCGTCTGGAGGGCCACATGATACTGCCACTCATCCCGCTCACCAGCGACACGCCGCGTTTACACCAGCATGTTTCGCGCTCTCCAGCGGCGCCACGCAAACGCACTTCCCACCCAGGCCGCGCAAATCCCAATGGCAATACAACATCACAAACGTAATTTCTCCACACGGTCTTCCTATACAAGCGTTTCGTACATAAAGTTCTCCAAAAGTCATGCCTACAGTCTCCAAAGCGAGCGCTTCGTACAAGACTTCCTCCAAAAGTCACACGTCAAGTCTCCAAAACAAGCGTTTCGCGTGAGACTTCCTCAAAAAGTCACACATCAAGTCTCCAAAACGAGCGTTTCGTACGAGACTTCCTCCACAAATCAGCCGGAAACACCCATCGGAGCACACACCCTGCCAAGCAGTTTCGCGATTCCGGCCCCTCCAAACAACACTCGCTCACACGCCAATCCCAATGTCACAGCGACATTCACCTCTACCACAACGCACAACCTCACAATTCCCTGCGCCTGCCACGAATCTTTCCGCGTCCCCATGTCTGTCGCGCGCAAAGTACTGCGCCTGCCATGAAATGTCACCTCCGTCACACCTCGCAACCTCACGCTTCCCTGCGCCTGCCACGAAAATCGCACTTCCGCACCTCAAAGCCCGCAGCTGCGCCTGCCACGAAAAGTGACAATATCATCTCATGTGAGCTTCAACAAAAATTGCCCCACACCACACGTTTGGAATGATTTCGACCCGTCCTGAGCACGCTCCCATCCACCAAAATCGCCATTTCAGCTGAGACTTATCACGAAAACAGAGCTTGGCTGGGATATCCTGAAACGCAAATCCTATAATGGCACGGCCACACCCAACACCCCAAAAACACGACTCTCCAAACGCTAATGGAACTGCGCAGAAAACTGCGGACCTCACAAAACGCTGTGCCTGCGCAGTGAGCTCAACCTCCATACTTCAACATCTTACACTTCCAAACGTTTCCACGCTATTTCACACCAATCTGACACGTCACGTTTTCATCCGAAACCCTCTCCAAAAGCTTTCCCCAATGGCAGCGCCTTAGCGCCCTACTGCGAACGGCGGCGGACGGTTGCGGACGGTTGCGAACGGTTGCGGACGGTTGCGAACGGTTGCGGACGGTTGCGAACGGTTGCGGACGGTTGCGGATGCTGAAACAACACGTCGCGAACAAGGCTCTACCCCCAGAGTTAAACGAGAACCCTTCGCTACGCATTCGGGAAAATTGCCTCGGGAAATCCACAATGCCACCATGCGTTGAAAGGTCAGCTAGGAGCAGCTAGGAGCGCTACACAATGCGATTGCTTATCTTTCTTCGATTGCTCAAAGGTCTTGGCATCTGCACCAATCATCGAATCATCCGAAGCGTCCTTTTCCAACCGTCGGGCGACGGTCCGTACGCGACCGGAAGCCCCTGGGATCGTGGATCCGTTTTCAACGGATCCCCGATCCCTGGGGCGGTCTTTGGTGCTGCCGATCGCGCGCCTTTCTCGTCTACCAGGTGATTTCGTCAAAGGCGAAAAAACACGTTTTCAAGACGTTTTTGCTCCAATCTGCTCGACATGCGCGGGATCCGCGGGCCGTCTGCGTGGGCTATGGCTATTTGCCGACGAGGTGTAACGCTGTAACGACCAGAACTGGAAATCTGACAAACCGGAAAAAGGTTCTGCAAATCCGACAGCGGTCGCTGCAACAAGGAAAGGCGGGAAAGGCGTGAACTTTGGGTGGCATCTACACGAAATCTTCTACTCAAAGGCCATCTCCCCGTGCATCTCCTGGCAAGTCTGACCGAACCCTTTGGATCGGGAGTCCAGCTCTTGGGATCTCTGTCTGTCTCGAAGATCCCTTTTTGTGGGATGGAAGGGTCAGGTAGTCGCCTATGGATATTTTATGATCAAAAGTACGACATGCGACAATAACGGCTTGGATCTCACTAACTCAGTGCCAACATTCACCAAGGAGAACAAAGCTACAGAGTGCAAGCAGGTCTCAGCAAGCTGTCTTCTGCGCCTGCTGATAATCAAGAAGATGCCAAACATCCTTGGCCATGGAGGAAAATGGGCTCGTTTCCCAATCCCTCCACTGCACTCATGTCTGAATGTCTATGCGGCTCACTATGCCATCGTTGTTTTCTGATGCAAATTCCATCCTCGAGCACGCATCTGCAGGATGTGATATATCAAGTATTGAGGAGCACAAGTAGGCATGCTTGATGATAGGGTCCTACTGAGTCTTGTGGCGGAGAGAAAGACCAACTTCTTCGATTGGGTGGAGCTCTGCATCTGCAACTCATGAAGAAAATCATGACCTCCCGAAAATCGTGTCGGGGTGCCTGCATCACGAAGCAAAGAGTCCAATTTGGACCGCAGTAGAATTTCAGAAACCTCCTTGTAGTTGTCATACTCAAAGGAACTCCACAGAAAAAGATCGTGGCCGTCTATTCAATTTTGAAATCATTAAACATCCAGGTGCAGGGATGTGCACGGATGCAAGCAAACTCCTGAAAGACTCCAACCGTGTCACCCGTGTTCTTCCA